CTTTATCACTGTCTGTCAAGCTGTTCTCAAAGTGTTGCTTCAGACTTATGCAGGTCCGTCAGGCTAAAGGCTCCTTCGACATGCAGAGGAAAGATGTTTCCAGACTCCGAGTTGAAGAAGAGATTCGGCGTCACGTCAGATTTGGGAAAACACTGTAAGTCACAGATCCTAACATGATTCAATTTAGTTTGAATTCCAACATGAATTTTCTTTCTTTCTCCTTGTTAGAGCACAGGGTTATGTGTTCAGGCAGGACTTTCTGATGGAAGTGAAGCATGTGCTTCAAGCATCATCGTCCTCCCAGAATACTGTGCTGTTACTGGGGGAATTGGGGTCTGGAAAGAGCACGACACTCGCCAAACTGGCACAGCTCATACCCACTTGGATACCTGGGTAGGCAAACAAAGGGACTCTGATTTTAAAACCTTTAAAATAGTTTTAAAAAATACACTAAAAATTTAAAGTGTTTGAAAAATGTATTGTATGCTGCATTTATTTAATCAAAAATATTAAAATCAATCAAAATATTATTACAATTCAAAATAAATGTTTTCTTTGTCAGTATATTTTAAAATGTAATATAATTTTTTGATGACAAAGCTGGATTTTCAGCATCATTACTCCAGTCTTCAGTGTCACATGATCCTTCAGAAATCATTCTAATATGATGATTTGATGCTCAGTAACCATATCTTATTATGATGATTTAGTTAAAGGGTTAGTTCACCCAAAAAGGTAAATTCTGTCATTATAATCACACTCATATCGTATCAAACCCCGTAAGACTTTCGTTCATCATTCATCAAGATATTTGAATAAAATCGAAGAGATTTCTGTTCCTCCATTGACAGCTACGCAACTACCACTTTGACGCTTCAGAAAGTTCATAAAGAGATTGTAAAACGAGCGGTTTAGAGACTCGATCGCTTTATAAAATGAACAGATTAAATTTAGGCTTTTATTCACAAATAAACATTGATCAGTGATAGGGTTGGGTATCGTTTGAATTTGAACGATTCTGATTCCGATTCCGATTCCTTGTTTCGATTCCGGTTCCTAACGATTCTCGATTCCGATTCTTTTAAGAGGCAGGGTCAAAAAACTTTAGCTAACCTTGCTAACCAACGGCCTTTCTGAAGGAAATACTCCTTCTGTAAAAATACTCCTTTTGTCACAAATTTTGCGTTTTGCCGAGATTTCGTTATTTTTAGAAAAGTGAAGCCACACTTTGGATCGCCGACGTAAGGTACTCATGTTCGACTCGCGTGGTTATGCCAACACTTCCGGTAGACGCTTCTTCGTTGGTGTTGTTCAGCGGTTTCTTCTTCCGCTCGGCGGACTGTGAATATCGAAACTAGGAATCGAAATTTGAACTTTTGAACGATTCCGGGAAAAACTAAAAGTTAGTCTCGGTTCCACTCGATTCTCGATACCCAACCCTAATCAGTGAACATATAAACAGAAGCTCAACCGAACCTGCTTGATGTGCAAGAAGAAACCTCAATGAATCTCAATCGTGCTGCGTAACAAGATTAAAAACCCCATTGGTTCTTGCTGAAGCTCAAATGTGATGCGCAACACGGGACCGAACCTCATTGGTTCTCGCACATCAAGCGAACATGTTTGAGCTTCCATTGATTAATGTTTAAATGTGAATAAAAACTTCTGTTCATCATATAAAGTGATCGAGTCTCTCCAGTATTTTGGACTAAAAAGCTCAATTCATATGGATTCGTTTTAATATCTCCTTTATGAACTTTTTGAAGCGTCAAAGACAAGTGGTAGTTGCGTAGCCGTCAATGGAGGGACAGAAAGCTCTCAGATTTCATCAAAAAGTCAAATCTTCATTTGATTGTCTAATTGGTTTGGAACGACATGAGGGCGAGTAATTAATGACAGAACTAAACATTTTTGGGTGAATTAACCCTTGAAAGGACAAAACTGCTTAATTTGGATTATTGTGTTAATTTTAGGGATGCGGCAGTGCTCACCTGCTTTGTGGGTCTGACATCCGAGAGCAGGAACGTGCGTCTGCTCCTCCAGACCCTGTGTCTGCAGTTAGCCAACATCTATAGCCTCAAAACAGAGATATCTGAGGTACAGAAAAGATAAATCAAATATTCATAAGGTCTTTTACACCGTAATGGATGCATGATATTATGAGATTGCTTATCTATCTCATGGATAGTGTTGCACTAGTCTGTTTTTTTTCCTCCCAGTCACTGTCAGAGTTGTCCAGTCAGCTGTGCTCATTGTTGGGCCTGGTGACAGAAGCTCGGCCCTTGACCCTGGTGCTGGATGGGCTGGATAATCTGAGTGAGGAGCATGAGACTGACCTTTCCTGGCTTAGTAATGTTCTAGTGCCGAACGTCTTCACTGTCCTGTCTGCCGGCACACAGTCTAAATGTGCTCAGATTCTACAGGTGAGCAGATGGGTCAGAGGACTTCCAAAGCATCCACCAAAGCGTTTTTCCACGCGCCTGGCGTATATTTTCAATTGTTTTCAATGGGAGCGCCATGAGCGTACCGAGGCGCTGAGCGTTTTTTTCACGCTGAGTTTTTACTGGTCGTTGGGAGTTGAAAAATGTTCAACTTTGGATAAAACGCAGCGCTCATCACTGTCACCAGACTATTTATATAGAGACATGCCACTTCATCAATCCTTAATACAAATGTATAGGGAAAACCCGTAACACCAAAGATGGCGGCTGTATGCAAATGCCCCTCCCCTCCCACTGGACAGCCAATCGTCTGCTTTTAACGGTCAAGCCGGGAAACATTTAAATACATTACTGTTTGAAAATGCGGCAGATTAGATATGCAGTGTATGTGTCCGTTGTGTAAATATCAGACATCCCAAGTCTCCAAGAAGTTCCGGGTGTCTCCTGATGCCCGCAAATTAGTTCAAATCTCCAGGAATCTAGAGCGAGCGAGCAAGAGCGCGCATTTCAAACTGTGCAGCGTGCGCGCGACAGAGAGCGAGAGAACCCTTGCGCATGCGCAGTAAAAGTATAACCTGTGGGAAAACGCCGTTTTAAACCTTATTTTAGTGCAAAGTCATCAAACTTTTTCAGCGATTTTTATTATATTTTACTGCTGTTTCTATACATGCGGTTTTTATGTCTCGGTGACCAGTGATCTGAGTCTTTTCCCATTCATTTAGATAGGAGCCTGGTCTTGTTAAGTCCGAAATAGCTGCCCGGAGGCGTTGCCAAGATGGCGGCCGAGTGGCATGACTTGCCTGAAAGGACTTTGCTGTCACTTTTTACCCAGCCGTCCAATCACAGTGGAGGAGGGGCGGGACTAATACCACACCGACCAACTGTCACAACATTCAAACTGCTGTGGATATTCTGTATCATAGCAACGAAACGTCTCAACGGAAAAACGCTGCGCTGCCAAAACGCTCTCAAGCGCCCAAAGCATGGCGTCTTCAGCAGAGCGTCTAGCGTTTTCAGCTGGCTAAAAACGCTTTGGTGGACACACGGCCTTACACTACCATTCAAAAGTTTGGGGTCGGTTAGGCCGTGTGTCCACCAAAGCGTTAACGAGGTGCTGAACGTTTTATTCACACTGAAGAGCCGAGCGCTCCGTGTTCAACATTGGGCATTCACCAATCAGAATGAAATCAGTTAGATTGAAACAAAAGCTAACTTACATGTAAACAATGAATGGCGACTGCAGAAAGCAAAAGCTGAATCCCGGTGTTCTGACGATTTTTGCTGCCTTGTCGAAAAAATGCTACCGTAGCGCGAATTGATCACAGAATGCCGATTAAAGTCGTATGAAATACAATTATAATACAATTCTAAGTTATGAGTAGCTACTGTATACTGTAGACGACTATTTTTACTTTTAAAACGGTGTGAAAAGTAAAAATTATCATAAAATATATTCATCTTTGACTTGTCAAAGTACACCTTTCCTCGTAGTAACTGAAAATTTCAGTTATTCTTTTTCAGCTGGCTGACCGTACAAATATTCATATGGTAGTAAGCATTTTTTAAAGGGAAATTATATATTATAACAGGAAAATGTACCTTTTGTAAAAAAAGAAAAAAAAAATCTGAGTCTGCACATGCGTATAACCGGTAAGTAGCAAATCTCGATGGGTAACATGAAGTGTCAGAACACCGGACATCGACGGTCGGACTTGTTTCGGGAAAAAGAGGACGGTAATCCCTAAAGTTACTACTCTAGGGTGACCAACTGTCCTGTTTTCCCAGGACATGTCCTGTTTTCATAAAACAATATAACAGAGGAGGCATATCCTACTTTAAATCTATTGAAATTAATAAGTTATCTTTGAGTAAACTTCGAGTATCATTTGAGTTGGCCCATGTGTTTGCTGGGCCGATTGTCCTGGTTTTTGGTAATCAAAATATGGTCACCCTATACTACTCGGCTTTCTCCACAGAACAAGAGCCTGCTAGCTTAGCTTCCAAAAAAGATGGCTGTCACTATGTGTAATCCCAATCCTCCATAATGCATCTGTCTGCGTATTCAGTACCTTCGTCCATGTTTTCAAAAAGTTGAAATCATACGCACTGGCACAGATCTGTGATTGGTCTGTTAGCGTTAGGTCGACCCCGAATGGGCGGGTTTGAAAGGGCGAGATCTAGTGCTTGTAGTCTTTACAGAAATCCCCCCTCTTACACTTCCTCCAACAATGACGTAAAATGACGATTTTTGCTTCATTGTAGGAGGAAGTGAAAAGGTAAATGGCAGATTTCTCTCGTCTCAGGGCAAAATGAGAGAGTGTTGCACGACCATTCAATAGTATAACTGGGTTTCTAACAATGGAAAGCTTAATGCAAATGGGTGAGTGTCAATTAAAGCAAGGGGAATCTACTCTAGACATTCACGGATCCTTACTGAATGTGATAATCAAAACGAATTTCTGTTCTCTTCGTCTCTTTCAGTCCCAGGTTAAGGTCGCTGTCCTGTCCCTTCCTGCTCTTCACCGTGATGAGATCGCATCAGGACTGGCTTCCAGACTAGCTTCGGATTTTCGGCAACTAACTGAAAGCCAGTGGAGCCTTTTATTCCAGTCCTGTCTATCCTGTCCATCCCCTCTCTACCTCAATCTAGCCTATGTTGGGACCAGGCAATGGAGTTCATTTACACCAAAAGAGAGTCTCAACATCCCTACGGATCCAAATCAACTTTTCGTCAGCATCCTTGTTAGTTTGGAGCGAGAGCATGGGCCGTGTTTGGTGCGACGTATGGCTTTGCTCGTATCACTGTCCTGTTCTGGCGTGACCGAGGAGGAACTTTTAGTGCTTTTGGGACGCGATGATAATGTCACACGCGAGACGGCTGTTTTGCATCATCAGACACTTGCCGTTTCCGAATACTCGCCGGTGCCTTATGCGTTAGTGGCCCGACTGCTGCACAACCTGAGGGATTACATCAGCGAAGTGGAAAGTGACGGCACATGGGTGTTGCGCTGGACTCATGCAGAGTTCGGTTACGCCGTCTTGCAGCGATACGCACCAACAGAAGACTCGATCAAAGCTGTCCATGCAGACTTTGCAGATTACTTTAACGGAAACGTCCCAAATAGCCAGGTTTTTCAGCCGCTAGCTTGGATCCGGAAGGAGAAGGGAAGGAGGTGCTATGAATTTAATTTGCGCAAACTCCACTGTTTGCCGTATCATTACATCCACTCGGGGCAAATAATTCCCTTACTCGAGCGATGTCTGTTTAACTACGAGTTCCTGATGCATAAACTGTGGGGTCTGTCCGTCTGTCACGTCCAGGAGGACCTTAAAGCTGCCGTCATACCGGATAAGTACGACGATATGATCACCAAACAAGTGTGTTTTGCAGGAATAGCTGTTTGATAGGATAAAACAGTCAATTGGTGCGTTCAAGTCATGTCGGAAAGATCGTGTTTGAACGCACATGAACAGCACCGGTAGGATGCTGGGGATTTTGAGCCCCAATGTTGATTGGGGGCGTGTCAGTGAGAAACATGACAGAATAGCACAGTTCTTAAAGATATTTAGCAATGAAATGGTCAGGCTTTTTTATTTAACGCAATAAGCTAATCGCATGCACAAAATAGGATAGCGTTGTAATATAACAACATAATATGTAATGGTAAAGTTTTAAGTGGCTTTGTAAATTAATTAATAACATAAAAAAGCAAAACACGCCTGATGCACATTCTTTGTTCTTTATTTTCTAGAAGAAGAGTTATTGTATTTTTGTGTAATTAATTAAGAGAAGGTACACCTCCATCTCACTCTGACGAAAATGTCTTGAACGCACCTCATGGTGAAAACATTACTTCCCAACTTAAATTTAAACACACCATAAAACCTTGGCATAAAGTGAAACATTATATATATATATATATATATATATATATATATATATATACTGTATATATATATGTAGTCTGCCCTCTCTATCCACAAGTTTCCTACGCCCCATGAGGCCTTGCGTCAAAAGTGGGCGCGACTTCCGGTTGGAAGTAAACAAAGCACGATTTGACATGCTTGACACTCGTTCATTCAAAAGTTGACAGTCATTCAAGTTATAGCGATCCAAACTAGCTAACGATGTGGGAACACAACCTCAACGAAATTAAAAAAGGTGAAATAACAGTACCTTTACCTCCGCAGTAGTTGATTGGGAGTATTATAATAACATTATTAATAATCAATACTCATCAAGGCATGGTGACAAACAATTAAAATAAAAAATACACACTTAGTCATTGTGCTTTGGAGTTTATTCAAAATTATAAATGAATGTGCTACTTGAATATATTAACTGGCACATTTGGTATTCTGTCAACACCGGCTTTGATCCTGAGTTTAGGTGTAACATCAGTAGCGAACAGCCAAACACATGCTGATAGAGTTTATAGAATATTAAGAATTTAAACAAATGTACACAGGAAGATTCGTCGTCTTTTGGGAGGTGATGGAAACTACAGTCGTTGGCAGGATCACTCTGATTTCGTTTTCAGCTTATGTTCAAAACAATCACGTTTAAGCCACTGAACTAGTTTAGTCCGGTTATACATACAACCGCGAACAGCACATGTTGTCCCTGAGCTCCGTAACGACATCTCTCATAAAGATTTGCGTCTTTAAATAGTAAAATAATTCTCCGAAAAACAGCTAGCCTCTTCGCTAACTAACACACAAAATACCATTGGAATGCTACTTCCACCGTCTCACCGGAAGTTTCACCCACTTTATTTTTTACAGGAGCGCCCCTCGGAAACTTGTGGATATTGAATATAGAAATCTTTTGCTCAGAAGTCTTAAAAATAAATATTTATAAATAGTTAATTATATTTTAAAAAGAGTTTTTGGATATTATGGGGATTAACAAGTGTCTATTGTATATTCTGAAGTTTAAAAAAAAAAATTGTGTGTGTGTTACAGAGAGCTTCTGGACGTGAAGTTGTTGGAGCAGGTTTTGTGTCTTTCTTATTCTGTGCTCTTGAATGATCCTTGCCAGCTGGCATCTCAACTCTTGGGCCGTTTGGAGCGGATCATTTCCCAAGATAAACCTGTTACTTCAGGTACACACACAAACATACTATATACTTTACACTATACACAAGAAAACCGAAAACATCTGTATGTTTAAGGTATGTTTTACGGCAGTTCTTTAGAACGAATGCGTCAATAGAGCCGCCATCTTGGAACAGGGAAGCCCCTCCGCTTTAATGCATCAGCGTCAATGTAGACAAAGGTCTAATGGAAGTAAAATCACCATAAATCATCATGAATGCGATTTGATCTCGGTTTTTTTTTTTGGCTCGTTCCAACTGTCAGACTTAATTCGTATGAACATTATACACAGCACAAAAGTCCGCCACCATCACCCAATTCGAAGTAAAGGCAGAGATAGCAGCGTTACCTAGCTACTTCCTATGACAAGACCCCTGTTCCAAGATGGCGGCGGTTTTGACGCATGCTCAGAACCCCAAGGTGACGTCTAGTGTATATGTCTATGGTTCCAGGTGACCCGAGACGATACTCTTTCCTGCATGATCTGTTAGCGCAATGCAAGAGCTCTTCTCTGCCTGTTCTTGTGCCCTCGTACACCTGCCTGCTTCCTCCAGGGGGGCTCGTACACACACTCCTTTCAGGTACCCATATTCAATATCTTCACAACTTCTGAAGGCCTCAGTTTCCCAACATCACCATTCAGGCAGGGATTTTGATTTAATCTGTCCTGGCAAAATCTTGGAGTCGTGGGTTTCCTTGGGTATTTCCTAGGGGGTTTCGGAACGCTGGTTTGGTTTTGTTTTGTTTTTTTGAGTAAAGGTTGAGGTCTGTGGTTAACATTACTTGTAGAGACATAAATTATACACAGTTATTTATATATTTAGTTCACTGTATGCTTTTAAAATGCAAGTTAAAAAGTTGCCAAATACAGACTACAGTAGTTGTCCAATGAATTAGAGGTCAGTTGACAAGCACTCAAACATTCTGGTACTGTAAACAAAAACTGGGAAATAGTTTTGGCATAGAATAAACTAGCATAGACTAAAACTAAATAGAATAACGTAGATTAAAAAAATAGGTATCCGTGCCAACTAACTGACACAAGTTGAAGTTCTAAACTTACTGATACTAAAACTGAAATAAAAATAAATTAAAGCTAAATAGAAATAGCAAAATTACTAAAACATAAAATACTAAAAATGTAACAATTAAAGCCAATTCAAAATATTAATAAATACTATAATAGTGTAGACATAATAAAATAACACTGCTCTATGGTATCGTCTTTGTTATGAGGGGTGAAACCCTCTACAAATCTCATCTCAAATAACTCCAGAGATTTACTATTTGCATTAGCTAGAATAATTTTTATTTTCCTTAATTTACTTCTTGCGATTCTTAAATACATTGATTTCTAATATGATTTTTATTCTCTGCATGCAGAAAAAGGAAGTGAGTTTATGCGGTTTGACAAATGAATGATGTGTCACGTGGAATTAAGCTCACAGCTGTTGTGCCAAATTTGAGGTGTGACTGTGTGGAAACAACTGTTGCAGAATGTATTAGCCACACCTTGGTAGATCATGAATATAAGCGAGGACAAACCCAGAAGCTACAGTCGCTTTGCAAACCAAACTAGGCTTTATATCTCTAATAATAAAGTCTTCTGACATCAAAACCCCTGGACTTTAAAGCCATGACAACAAGTCTGTTGACGTAATTTGAACCACAGATGTCATTTTTAATTAAAGAAATCTAAGGCTGTCACTGTGAAAACCCATTGGAAACTCCAGAGGGGAACCACACCCATGGCGAATTACCCATGAACAGCTCTATAACCTGCTGTGGTTTATGACCAAAACATAAAATCTAAAATAAGATTCTTTATCACATAATGGCTGAGTGAACTGTCCTTAACACCCCGACCCATGTCGAACTAGGTCACATGAGTGTTGTGACAGCCCTGGCTCATGGTCGGCGTCACATGGTTTCCTGCTCCTCTGATGGACTGCTGAATCTATGGCGTCTAGATGAGCAAACGAGGCCCGTTCGGCACTTACCGAGGGCTCATGGACCTGCAGTCGACTGGGCCGCCGACTCGCTCACCCTCTGTCTGGACGACAGTGTGCTTGTGCTACAGATGGGCCACTGCCTGCAGGTGAGAGAGGTGGATTCTGGGAAGGTGCTGTACATGGAGAAGGAGTCTTTGGATGTTCCTGTAGTCACATCTGCCTGCGATGGGCGGCTGCTGGTGGTTTTTTATGATGGAAGTCACATGGTTAAGGTGAGACTTCGGACAGGCCGTTCTTTCTATATGCTGTGAAAAAGTAACCTGTTAAAATTAATTAAATGTATTAATTAATTTTTTTTAAATGTATTAATTAAAAAATTAATATAAAAAAAACAGGGTTGTCAAAAATTCATTCAATAATTTGTTACATTTAATAATTTATATACCACTTTTCCTCAAACACAACAATATTTTAGATATAACAGAATGGCATATTTATGACTGTATATTTCCCAATATTTAACTGTATATGAAGAGTTCAGATGCAAAAGCCTCTAAATGCCATTTGAAATTTTCTTCTTGAATGATGATTTTTATCAAACTTGTATATTTAAGTTCAGTAATTTCACTTAAATAACAATTAATAGGTAATCATCATTGCCATTTAAGTGAAATTACTGAACTTAAATATACAAGCTTGATAAAAATCATCATTAAAGAAGAAAATTTCAAATGGCACTTAGAGGCTTTTGTATCTGAACTCTTCATATTTTATTAAGAGATTCCAATCTTCTTAATCTACCAATATCAGCTTTTTAGGCAAAAACTAGACTTTCTTTAAAGGAACATGCCGACTTTTTTGGGACTTTAGCTGGGACTTAAGTCCATACATACCCTTCTCATCTCCGTGCGTGCCGTAACTCTGTCTGACCACCACTAGCCTAGCTTAGCACAAAGACTGGAGGTAAATGGCTACAGCTAGCATACTACTCCCAATAAGGGACAAAATAACGCCAACATTTCCCTAAGGTCACATGAGACACAGCCATCTTCTAATTCTAACCGTATACATACTGGGAAAATTAATTAAAAAGCGGAAAATTTAACAAATTATGTGAAGAAGCAAAATGATTTATATAAAATATAAACGTGATGACAAGCAAATGTCCTACTGTTTTTCACTGTAAATCACAGTTATTTATAAATAACAACAAAAAAACTATTTTAACCGTATTTTACATACAATGTAATGTTGAACCATTTACAGTTTTTTACCGTATATTTCAAGTCAACTTTATAGCGCTTTATACAATACCAGGGATTACAGGGATAAAAAGAAAAATAGTTATCAATCATGCTAACAGATTTCGGCTCTAAAAAGACGATTTTTCAGCTGAAGTCAGTTCGGTGTTGATTCAGTTCAGATCAATAATGAAATGTGTTCAATTATAATTGCAGCAGTGTTGATTCAATTCAGTTCAATAACAGTGTCGATGTCGCAAAAAAAACCCCGCTGATTATACGGCTGTCAAACGATTAATCGCGATTAATTATACACAGTGCACCCACATATATTATGTAAACACAAACTTTTATTTTGGATGCGATTAATCGCTAGTTGATTATGAAACAAAGTTGAATCAGCTATAAAGCACTGGTCTTTGTTTCCTGTTTACACTTCTGGGCTTCGGGGTCTATACGAGCCCAACAATTAATTGAGTAATTGTACAAAAAATATACATTTTTAATCATACAAGTAATATATCATTTTTTTTGTTTACTTCTAATCTATTCTCTATTAATGTTGTGTTTTTGGAGATATAAAGTACTTTTGTATCCATATACCACACAATTCCTCAACTATTACCATTAGCACCATTAGCTTGCATATGAAATATTATTTTTTTATGATATGTTGCATTTATGCTCCAGTACTAGGCCTTCATTTCTGTGTAAAAAGTTTCAGATTTATGCCGTAAAATATTTATATATATATATATATATTTTTTTTTTTTATTTTTTTTATTTTTTTTTTATTTTTTTTTTTCCCCACATTTCCCATTAATTTCATATTGACCCCGAAGACCAGAAGTGTAAACATTTTTTTTTACATACCTTCAGAACAACCGAATCAAGGCCAGTTTTTTTTGTGTGTATAGATAGATAATCTATGAAATGTCACAAAATCTTATTCCACTGAGATGAAGGGAACCTTTTTTTTATTAAGTAAAATTTGATTGGGGTCGTATAGACCCCATGACCCAATTGAGGGTTAATATCATGAAAACAAATGACCAGTTATCGTTTCGGATCTAACTTCCTCTCATTCTCTCTCTTTTACACAGGTGTTTGATCTCGTGGCGTCGTGTTCGCTGCTGTGTTGTGTGAACCTCGCCCTTGAGTTTGAGCCCATCCACAAAGACCAGTCCGTCTTAGTCTCTCGTCACTCTGTTAAAGACTTTGTTCTCTTCGCCTACAGGTTATTAGTATATACATAAATGCATGCCCACTAAGGTTAATTAATCATCACAGTGTTTAGTTATATCCAATTTCCAGCCATGTGTGAAAACAATGCGGCTGTTGCAGGACTGATTTATATTGTCTGATCACACAATGTATTATTTAAGAGTCTGCTCGAGTGTATGTGTGTGCTTGCGTTACTGGGCAATGGTTTCATGTAACTGTAGCTATAAAAAAAAATGTGTTAAGGCTTTCCCAGAAGCGGTTTATCTTTCTCGTATTTCATTACACGATTAAGATGCATGTATTATCCAGGAGAGATGATTGAAGGGAGTAATGAACCTCTGCTTTCAATGTTATTAAAGGGTTAGTTCACCCAAAAATGAAAATTAAGTCATTAATTACTCACCCCCATGCTGTTCCAACCCCGTAAGACCTTCGTTCATCTTCGGAACACAAATAAAGATATTTTTGATTGAATCTGAGAGCTGGATCAGTCCTACATAGACTGCCTAAGGGACTGGCTCTTGACGGCCCATAAAGTCATTAAAGAAAAGGTTTAAATATTCCATGTGCCTACAGCGGCTCAATTATAAGTTTATCAAGCGACGAGACTACTTTTTGTGCGAAAAAAAACATAAATAACAACTTTATTCGACTATTCTATTCCTTATGGGCGCATGCGCGAGAACTGAGACGAGGACGTTCTCCTTCGACTTGTTACCGGCTGCTCACCGCTTAGGAGTTTTACCGCCACCTACCGTATAAGATGATGTGCTGATATAGCTGGAAGCGCAAAACTTTCTGTTTACAAGCAGAGGAAGATGCGCGCTGTACATACGCTTTTCAATTTGCGTATTTTCCGCACTATAAGGTGCACTTAAAAGCCTTTAATCTTCTCAAAAAACGACAGTGTTCCTTATAATCCGGAGCGCCTTATATATGGATCATCATTTTATACGGTAGGGGGCGGTAATACTCCTGAGCGGTGAGCAGCCGGTAACAAGAAGTAGACGAATGAGAACGTCCTCGTCTCAGTTCTCGCGCATGCGCCCATAAGGAAGTAATGGAATAGTGGAATAAAGTCGTTATTTATGTTTTTTTCGCACAAAAAGTAGTCTCGTCGCTTGATAAACTTATAATTGAGCCGCTGTAGGCACATGGAATATTTAAACCTTTTCTTTAATGACTTTATGGGCCGTCAAGAGCCAGTCCCTTAGGCAGTCTATGTAGGACTGATCCAGCTCTCAGATTCAATCAAAAATATCTTTATTTGTGTTCCGAAGATGAACGAAGGTCTTACGGGGTTGGAACAGCATGGGGGTGAGTAATTTATGACTTAATTTTCATTTTTGGGTGAACTAACCCTTTAAGCTGGGACCAGCACATGCACACAACTGCATTGACTAGTTATATGATCACCCAACAAGTGTTTTTTGCAAGAATAGCTAGTTGATATTATTGGGACAGAACAGCCAAATTATGCATTCGAGTCATTTCTGAAAGATTGATTTACGTGTTGAACGCACATGAACGGCACCACAAGTGGTAAATACCAGTAGGAAGCTTGGGATATGAAGAGACTGAGTTTGTTGACTCTACTGGTTCAATTCATACGAGGAACAAAAGGTCAGAATATGGCCTTTGTTCGCTGTGTCCCAATCTCTTATCTTTCCCTCTCCCTATTAAATGATTCCATTTTTCCTCTCTACTGTCTGATACAAAGTGTCTAATAAGCTCCCAAAATTGGAGTTGATACAGTATAAAGGGGTCATGTCATGAAGAATCAAATACTTTGTGATAAAAGAGTTCATTGTGCTGTGAAAAATACCATCAAAACCCAAAACTTCCTCCCCAGTTCAATTGAAACTGCGCTGCAAAATGGCTTTGTCCTACTTCAGCAAGCTTTCTGACCACAGATAGAGGAGTGATTTAAACACACTGCCCACATTTACACGTACTGTTTTGTATTCAGAATCTGACCCGCAGGAAAAATGCTAATATTACGAAACACTAGAAGAAGTAATGGTGAGATAAAGATGTGGGAAAGTGTGCCAACTCTTTCTTCTGGTTCCAACTGTATGTGCCTGTCCTACGCTATCTCGCGACCAATTCGTACGAGAGAGTGATTCAAAAGTGGCTAATTCGTACTAATTCATATGACCTCACTTGTACGAATTCATACGATTTGTCTAAACCCATGTGATGGTTTTGTTTAGGGGCGGGGTCAGGTCATTCGTACGAATTCATACAAATTGGCTAATTCGTAAAATATGTACGATTTAGCAAAATCGTACTAATTCGTACGAGTGAGGTGGTATGAATTGTTACGAATTAGCCACCTCGTAAAATTCGTACGAATTCCTGTGAGATCGGGTTGGCCTGTCCTCCTAAGGATCTCAATGTGAACGCCGTGGTCACACTAGACTTTCTAGACACAAAATTGCTATGTACACTTGAACGGTCTAGATATGACGTCACACTCTGTGACTGTAGCGTCTTTTTTTAAAGGTGCAGTATGTAAGATTGACAGCTAGAGGTTGAAATGGGTACTGTAGTCAGGGCTCCAGACTAACTATTCCAGTGATTGAACTAGTGCTACAAACTTTCTCAGTTGGTCGAAAGTGGGTCTATCTATCTATCTATCTATCTATCTATCTATCTATCTATCTGTCCGTCCGTCCGTCCGTCCGTCACGTCCATCTGGATGGACCAAACTTTCTCAGTTGGTCGAAAGTGGGTCTATCTATCTATCTATCTATCTATCTATCTATCTATCTATCTATCTATCTATCTATCTATCTATCTATCTATCTGTCTATCTGTCTATCTATCTATCTATCAGCATCATCTTTCTATCTTTTAAAAATCACTAAACATTCAAATCTATGGATTACATTTTAAAAGATTAGAGCATTATAAACTAATACAGACTTTTTGTTCGTTTCGAAGTTTAAAGTTGTAACAAAAATCAGAAATCTCACACTCCTTACCTTCTGCATTTTATAATAATTTCCTTTTCCTCAGTCGAGCGATTACTCTCATTTAATCTCTGAAAAGACGTAGGAAGGGGCACGCTGTTTCGTGAGACATTTTCATTTTTATATGCCTTAATTCGTCAATTCGTAATTGGCGCGTTCCCCATCAGTGTGCGCTGTGCGTTACGTCTACGTTTATCAATAAATAAACTGCACGTATCTTGCGGACTGTAGCCGGAGCTACTTCTCTCCATTAATGTCTATGGTGAGTCATGCAGGCACTGGGCAACTCCGCATCCGAGTCGACCCTGGGATAAAATAGTCCGATATTAAACACTTATTATAGGCGTACTGTAGTGATTCAGGATAAGTCAAAAACACGGTTTGGAAAATTGATTCATGATGTAGCCTACTCGTTCATTTTGAACATAAGTTACGGACTGCAGCGGCGGATACAACGGCATTTTACGGCACATATGCGACCACATAAAATTTTAACTCGCACATTCTCAAAAAATGGTCGCATATGCAGTCCAAATTTTAGATATTGGAGAGAGTTGTTGCGAGTGCAATTGACAATGGAAAGCGATGAGACTCACTGCTTTAAAGCAACACTAAGTAAGATTTTTTTATCTTAAAATCGTTTTAGTGGTTCATAAAGTCGTAACAGGGTGAAAGGCACTTATGCCTTCGCTTTGCAGTCCTTTATCTGCTGTAACCATGCTATGTAAGATTGGCAGATCGGGTCGAGTTTCTGTAGTTCTAATGAGACATAAGAAAACTACAAATTTGACTTGCTTTACATCAAGCGTTACAATAGTCATTATTTTGTTTTTGTTCGTTTCTGATGTCGCAATACATCATACTTTCATGAAATCAACATACTCTACCTTGTCTGTGGACGTCGTTCATTCCAAAGCCGGCGCTGGATAAACAGCGAGTGTGTGTGCGGCAAGGTTATTATAGTTTTGCATTTTTCATTAGTTTTTATTTTTATTTCGTTTTGAATTTTTGTTTTCAAATTCAGTTTAGTTTTAATTAGTTTTAAAAGTGGGTTTGCTAGTTTAGTTTAGTTTCTATTTTTTGAAAATGCTTAGTTTTAGTTTAGTTTTTATTAGTTTTAGTGTTAGTTTTAGTCTTTTTTTTTGTAGTTTGGGTTATTTGTCAGGGGCAAGGTTGAAAAAGGTCAGAAAAAGAATTGTGTAACAATAACTCAACAAAAACATCATACAATTTTAGAAATATCTATTCAACATTAAAACCAGTACATAAAATGAAGCCTACAATGTGAAAATCCTTTACCGTAACAATCTAGATATCTTCTATAAAAAAATCCCACAGCTTTACAATTTCCACACCTTATACTAAATTTACCCTATACAACACTAATCTGGACAGAAGCAGCAAACAGTCAGTGTAAGAGTAAAATAATGACATAACATTATTTAATATTTGAATCACAGCTTGTAGAGTTTTGACACCAACAACCAAGCAGCAAGGCTGCAACCAGGGTCTGAAAACTAGTGAGGTAATAATGGTTAATAATTACCTCACAATAATTAGTAATATAATAATGGTTAGGCTATTGGACCCACATTTCCCCATGGACATGAAGGGATTTTTTAAAGGAATTTACCATATATATATATATATATATATATATATATTATATATTAACTATTAAATGGCACTTTCTGGACAGTTTTGTGCAAAGAAACAGAATAAAAGTAGGTCTAAATAAATTGCTAGTTGAATAGATTGCTAGTTGAGAAACACTACTTTAATTATTGCATTTATGATGACTATGTGAAATGTTAACAAAGCATGAGCTGTCTTCCAGCTGGCCAGTAAGGTTATTTTGGCAAATTTTATTCTGTAACATACAGATCTGTATTATGCTATTGTTTTTACAGATAATCACAATGATCATTGCGTTTGGTGTGGTTGCCTTATGCAATTGCAGTTTGTCTATAAGCTTTTTTTATTAACGCAGACAGTAAAATGTTGCCAGATATTGCTACGAAAAAAAAAGCAAATAATATAATAACAATTCGAAATTACTTCAAAGCTTGTGTTTTGTAAATAAGATTAATATATCACTAACACTAACATGCAACTTTCCACTATAATAACTTCCTAAAGTGTCACAAAAAATCCGAAAAACAGGTCCAGAAGATTACCGCACCATTCGATTAGGTGGATCTGGCAACACAGAGGCTACACTAGCGCCCTCATTCACAATGCGTTCTCAAGCCCCGTTCACTGCGCTAGCTTCTCGCTGCAACATGAATTGCAAACACACAGGTGGTCTAAACATGGCTAATTAATCATTCACATAATCATTCAATCATGCCATTCCATTTTTGAATGTAAAAAAAAAATGGCCGAGGTCTGGACTGGTTAGCCACGGCCATGCCCACTGCCCAGCAGCATTTTACCTCAAAATTGCAACTAAGTCAGTAACTTTCTAACGAAGGCTCAATCGCTTCTCGGGTTGACATTAACACACTTACAGAATTGTATTAAGAATTTAACATATTTTTACACCACCTTTTAATGTGTGATTGTGTAAAATGTTCATCATGAGATACCAACCTTTCGCGAACTTGCTTTTAACATTGATCGAACCCTCGTTTTCATAGAGACGCGGTGTGCATTGCACGGAGGGGAGGGGCTGTGTGTGTGTGCGTGCATTTGAGAGAGAGAGACGGAGGGAGAGAGCGTTACAGGGAAATGAAATGCAACGAATACACTGCGTGTTTTAAATAGTGTTAAAGACGAAAACTAAGGACATTTGCTCTATAATTTTATTTTATTTTAGTTAGTTTTGCAAACACACATTACAGTTTTAGTTAGTTATAGTTTTTTTGTAATGGCTCGTTTTTATTTTTATTTCAGTTAACGACAATGTTTTTTCCCATCTAGTTTTCGTTTTTTCGTTAGTTTTCGTTAACGATTATAACCACTGTGCGGCAGTAGGCAATTCCAAAGTAATGGACAATTCCGCTTCCAACCTGTAGGGCGACCACAGAGGAAAAGTTACTTGGTGTTGCTTTAATATGCCTCTGGACAGAGATTTTTAGTAGGATGCGGAGGCTTTTTAGGTCGGGTAGAATGTGACCTCTGAACTGGCAACCCGGGCTGTGGAAACACTATTAGGTAAAATGGCAGTGGGCGAGATCACACAGACCGAAACAAAAACAGAGATTCTGACACTGAGTGCTTATTTTAAAGTAGAATAACTGGCTGTAGAAGTGTTTTTCAGAGAAACAAGATTGTGAACTTAGCATGTTTCCTAAATATCTGCAAGCATATTATGGTATTTTTATGCTTTAGTACAACAACAAAAAAGTACATACAGCACCTTTAAAAACAGGATTTGAACATATCTAATAATAATACATCCAAAACGTTCTCCTCTGTAATGCAAAAATTTTGCAGTCTTTTAATTCAGCTTAGAGGTCATGACTTGACTTGTCAATCTTTAATTGGTCACGAATTCATGAAACGAAAAATGTGGTGTGACCGCCCTTAACAGTCGGATCTTAACAGTTTTTGTGGAACAAAAAAAAAAGTACTGACCCAAAACATTTGAATGGTACTAATATATATATATATATATATATATATATATATTTCAGGATCAGAAAGATTTGATGGCCATTACAAAAACTTAAAGGGATAGTTCACTTTGAAATTAATTTTTGATATGTTTTAGCTTACCTCAAGGGCATCCAAGATGTAGGTGTCTTTGTTTCCACAGTATTTTCAATTTTGATATTTTTAGGTCAAACCGTTCTTGTCTGTCAGTCATATAAGTTGAGGTTTAGGGAGTCCTCCCTCGGTTCACCTCAAAGTGCATGCACAGAGAAGTCAAAATTAAACATGATTGAATGACTCATAAATGTAAGTACACATTGATGGCCTCATGCTGTTTCTTGTCTCTTTCTCTCTTTTGTAGGGATGGAGGAGAGGCGGCAATATTCAATGCTAAAGGTGGAGTTGTGTCCTCCACACTGAAAGCTCAGCACCCTGCTGCATCTATCCAAGCTGTAGAGATCAGCTCGCAGTATTTACTGCTCTTTTGCAGGTAACATTAAAGGAATAATTCACCCAATCACCATGGTGCATCCATGTGTCTTTAATATATCTGTATCTTCGTTTTTTTTCAGATACCCTTATAAAAGAGACAGTGAAATCTTTCATATTGAACTCTTCAGCACAGCATCCTTCCAGTACCTGCGCTCTATCTTGGGTTGCAGTCAGGACTACATTTCCCAGGTCACCATTGCAGGGGGCGGGTCCCACATTGTGGCCTTTTGTCCCGCCCCTCGCAGCTCGACCACAGAGATTATTACCTGGAACCTTGAAACTGAAGATCATAAACACATTGCACGGTTTCCTGGCCTGCTGGCTTATGGTTAGTCAAAGCTGTTGAGCATCATCGCTAGCATTGTGACTTTTTTGTCAAAACAAACACATGGTTTGAGTTCAGTATCAGTACTGTAATCCTATATATATATATATATATATATATAGTCATAGTATTTTTGGTGATGGTAGTTATGGTAGTTTATTTATATAGCACAATTAAATACAATTTACATTGTCCAATGTGCTTTACAATATTAATAAATATCATAAAAGACAGACAACAAAACAACAACAGTACAGGTGTACATTTAAATAATTATATATATATATATATATTAGTGATAATTAATATATCAAAAAATTATATATTTCATATATTTAAATAAATGTCCAGCTTTTTAATCATCATTCAGAATGAGACTCAAAAAAATTAAGGAAAATGTTATTCATATTCATATTCAATGATATTCATAAAATTATAAAAGGAAAAATGTTATTCATTGGCATACAAAAATTGCCACAATGCAATACATTTAAATTATTCTAATATAGGCTTAATTTTATTAATGCAAAATATATTTTCTTGCTTTTTGTCGTTGGTTTTTATGGTGAAATGCTTTACAGTGGCCAAAAGTGATGTCTGGCATAGGGAAATCTTCATACTTTATTCAAATATTATACAAATTTTTGTATACAAGCACGTTGTCATTTGTTTTACTTCTGATAATGCAATGAAACATGCCAAATTGTGCAGACATAATTTTAGTCCGGGTCGTCGTGCAAAGAAATTATGAACACATGCAAAAACAATAAAGAAACTTTTGAACCTTGCACTTTTTTGCATAGTAAAATAAAAACCTGTAAGTGTTGTTAAGCCAAGATACATACCTTAACCAAGTTTAGTGTTCTGTTCTATATATTTAACAAATATCATCATATTTTAATGGCTTAATTGAACATGCAAGGTCATTAAAAACAAATATCCCCTCTGAACGTCACTTTAGGCCACTATTATATGACTGAATACATAAATATATTTACTCTAATAGCTCACATGCACTTCATGCAAATCATGCCTCTAAAGTAAACACCATTATGCTTTACAAGCTTCTTTACTGCTTTGAGACACATAGCACAGGAACAGGTTTAGTCATATTTATTGTTTATCTGTAAGCAGTGACATTTATCTGTCTGTATCTGTCACTTTTTTCTCTTCGTTATGTAGGTGTGTGTTCTGACCTGCATTACTGTGTGGGGTTTTGTGCCGGGGAGCAATTCTTACGCACGTGGGACCTGGGATCCAGGATAAATGACCAAACGCTCACATACAACGTGCACAAAGCTCACAGTGACGGCACAGCGGAGATTGTAACCATGCAGAGATATCCCAGGTGCAAAGTCCACCGAACACATTGCATGCATATGGCCACAGTTCATAACTGTAAAAAACAATGAGCCGGCAGGAGACATCTTTCAGGATCAGCCATTTGTTGACATTTTTCTGTGCATCATGTAACTATGATAGCCTCAGTCGTTCTACAATGCATGAATCTTAAATGTAGGCCTAAATATATTTGAGTGTACTTTTATACCCAAATATCATGAATCTAATAAAATAGTGCTGCCCTTAAAGGGATAGTTCACTTTGAAATTAATTTTTGATATGCTTTAGATGTAGGAGTCTTTGTTTCCCCAGTAGTTTCAATTTTGATATTTTTAGTCAAACCGTTTGAGTCTATCAGTCATATAATGGAGGTCTATGGTCACCACATCAAAGAGCATGCACAGAGAAGTCCAAATTAAACATGATTTGATGAATCGTAAGTGTAAGTACACATTGATGGCCTAAGACACGAAACGAGCGGTTTGTGTGAGAAAACGAACAGTATTTATATCGTTTTTACCACTTTGACCACAGCCACAAAGTGCCCTTGCCCTAAGATCACTTGGACGTGGCTGTGGTTACAAGAGGTAAAAACGACATAAATACTGTTCGTTTTCTCACACAAACCGCTCGTTTCGTGTCTTAGGCCATCAATGTGTACTTACATTTACGAGTCGTTAAATCATGTTTAATTTGGACTTCTATGTGCATGCTCTTTCAGGTGGTGACCATAGACCTGCATTATATGACTGATAGATAAGAACGGTTTGACCTAAAAATATCAAAATTGAAACTACTGCGGAAACAAAGACACCTGCATCTTGGATGCCCTTGAGGTAAGCTAAAACATACCAAAAATTATGGAAAAAAAATGTTTTTTTGGTGTAAAGTTTTACAATTTTCCCTCTGATTCAGGTATGTGGTTTGTCGAAGCACACGACCCGGTACTGTGAGATTGTGGAACGTGGCGCGGACTCGATTCAAGGGTCGTCCTGTGCAAGTGGAGCACGGCCTGTTCTCGAGTTCAGACATCGCTCTGGTGCGGGACCTCAAACTCTATATACTGTCTGACCGTGGCACCACCAACTTCACTGATGCACCTACATCTGTCTACCAGGTATATCTGTGCAATACAGGCTGAAGATATGAAAGGTATAAAAATTGAAGCTGATTGGATAGTTGTTTATAGACTGATCATCCGCTATGCTCTCATACAATTGGGAGCGAGATGGGTCTTGTGCATGTTACCCACTTCGGTCCCACCTAGTACCAAGTGCAATCCTATATGAAATCCACTTGGGCAATTAACATGGGGCCATTGTGTAACCCACGGACAATCCCTTAGAGAGCACATTTTTCAACCCCACATACAAATGTCAACTGGGTTAAAGCTGGATAGGTAGATATTTATCCAGTGAAGAGCACAATGGACGAGATGGAGGAAAATCCATACTGTACTACTTTAGACGCTATTACAAGAGAAATATATAAACAGAAAATCGAATAAATGTTGGACGTGATCCTTATGTTATGAAGAGGACCGATTTTCGACTGAATTGAGAGATTTGCCTGCCATCGAGGCTGTAGATATCAGCAACTAACTCGTCTTACAGACATACTTTGACTTTACAAAGTTCGGAAACTGGTACGTTACATAAACAGCCATATAAGTGTATTTAAACACCTGAATAACGTAATTATAAGCCACATAAATAATGTATCAACTCACATTTGACGAAGTGATCACTGCACACACACACAGGCATTTTCCCATTCGGCTCCTCCCGACCGCAGACGTAGGTTTGCAAGGCATTT